AGTTCCCCCCCCCCCAACTAAATCAATTCCTTAGACATGGGATCTATAGATCCCAGCCCTGAAAAGGACCATTTGCTTATTTTGCTAATTTCTATTCTATTCCAAATCAAAACCCAATCTTAAATTAGTCTAATTCAAATCATTAAACTTTATAATCATCTAACAGATTTAAGCAACCTTTTTTTTGGTAAGAATTAACTCATAAAGTTAAAGTAAAAATATCTGTTTAGTTAAATTCTAAGCGCACACAATCTGCATCTCCCTGCTCACATCATCGACGATACTACGAGAGTTTTCCATGATTGACATCAAGAACCATGTTTATCAACAAACACACGTTCTCCTATCTCAACTCCATCATCGAACTCATTGAGCCAATCATCAGCCAAGACAAGCTCTTCTCCTCCTTTTCATTCTCTTAGAATATGTCACCATAATCGTAGCTTTTCCTGATATCTTGAGACAATACCATTTCAGTAGATAAAATCTTAATTCACTTCAAACTACTTCTCACTGTTAAATCCCTTTATGGCTTTAAATATAAACCTAATTCCGCTTGTGGGGCGACGAGCATCAACCGCCCCTGGTTGTCTCTTGATAGATCTATCCTAAATACCTACAGAGTAATTTATATTAGATTAGAACCAATGCTTAGATGGGCAATGGAATGAAACCCTGGCAGTTGAGTAATAACTGTAGTGTGAGATCAGGTAAGTATGTTTTTGAAATAACATCGAACAAGAATATCATATTAATTGTGAGCTTCTTCAGAGAAAATGGGAAATTTAGAGAATTTTAAGGCTCCCAGATCAGATAATATTTCCCCAGGGGTTTTTAAGGAGGTTAAGGGCTGGATATGTGAGCCACTTTCTTTGAAAGTACATGAATAGTGGACAGGTGCCAGATGATTGGACGATGGCTAATGTTACTTCTCTTTTCAAGAAAGGTGATAAAAATTGTAAGCCTAGTCTTACATCAGTGGCAGGAAAAGTTTTTGAAATTCTGGTGAAAGAAGCCTTACAATGTCATTAAACAAAGTTAAAAAATTTGTTAGATAGTCTGCATGGTTTCATTAGTAGAAATTATTGTCAAACTCATTCATTAACATATTTTGAAGAAGTTACTGCTTATGTAGATGAGACTAAGGGTGTGGATTTGGTTTATTTGGATTTTAAGAACACATCTAACAAGGCGCTGCATAAAAAGCTTGTTAAAAAATTACCTCTATAGGTTTGGGGTATAACTTTGGATAGAAAAGTGATTGGGTGGAAGAAAGCAGATGGTTATGATAAATATCGCAAGTGAGTATCTTAGGGCTCAGTGTTGGAAACTTTGCTCTTTTTGATTTATATAAACAATATAGATGAAGGAATGGTCAATGAATTACTTACATTTATTTATGATATTAAGGTATTGGGTGTTGCTAGCTGAGAGGAAGATGATGCTGCTTTAAAAAGGATTTAGATCATTTTGGGAGTTGGGTAAATAAGTGCATTTGGGTTATCATAATTTGAATTATAAGTAAAATTTTGATGAGAATAACCTTAACAATGTTATGGAAGTAAAGGATTTTGCTGTTCTGGTTGATTAGTATCTTAAACCATTCAAGCAATATACTGTTGCTAGTGGTAAGGGCAAACAGGATTTTAGTCTGTATCTACAGAAATATTAAAAACAAGTCTAAAGAGGTTTAATTATATTGTATAAGTCATTGGTTAGGCCATATTTGGAGTAATGTGTTCAGTTTTGGACTTTTTACTTTAGGAAGGATATTGAATTGTTGAAGAGGGTTCAGTGTGTTTGTGTGTGTGTTTTTTCATAGCAAAGCCATATATGACTATTTACTGTGTCCACTGAGAGGAATCAAACCCCTGATTTTAGCATTGTAAATCCAAAGACTTACTTCTGTCCCATGGGGGGACGACCAAAGATAGTTCAGAATAGAGCGACAAGGATGATACTTAGGATGAAAAGGTTGTCATACAAGGACAAGTTAAGATATCTGAAATTGTTTTCGCTTGATAAAGAGAAGATGGGGTTAAGATGTACAAGACTGTTAAGGGAATTGGTAAGTTTCATCTTTTCTAGTACTTAATGGTAAGAATGATAGGACTAGAAGACAAAAATATACATTTTGGCAGATAGAGTTGTCTTCAGTTAATACAGCTTTATTTTTCTAACAGGGTGGTTGGCTTTTAAATGGGTTGTATTCAGATGTGGTGGATGCAGTAAAGTTAAGAGAGTTTAATGGAAGGCTTGCTAAATATTTAAATCATGAAAGCTGGCATTGAGTTTATATATATATAGTAGTTAGGCTTAGAAAATATCTTTGATTTAGTAAAAAAAACACTAGCAGTCATCCCACAAGCAATTATATACAAACACTGTGTTTATGCAAGTGTAAATAATAACAATTGTTCATTTATGTAGTACATTGCATCCAATCTCCCTATTTTGTTCTCAAAAATTCATTTATTTAGAGAAAATCAGAACTATTCTTTAATACATATCTTGTCAAAACCCCTGTCATTCAGCGGACCTATTCCATCTCTCAAAGAAAATTCAGTTTTTACTGAATATACCACATTTCTAGGCCATATATTTAAGGGTTTTAGGAATTTAACACATATCATAATTAAATCATTAAAACATTTCTCATAATTAAAACATTTCTCCAAAACAACAGTATTTTTTCACTCTCATAAGAATGATGTCTTTTGAGCGTTGAAAGCACTCAATGATTCAGTACAACTTTATCGTTATAAGTTTCAGTTTCCTTGTGTGAATGTGTGTAGCCTAGTGGTTTGCATGCCACACTGTGAATTTGAAGATCCATGATTCTTGTCACGATTCCACAAAATCATGCTCAGCACTTTGGGGCCATCTGAAAGTAATTGTTAAATTCCACCGTTTGATTAGAGTAACCCAAGAGATGGTCAAAATGACTGTTGACCTATTGCTTTTCCTCTAGTTTATCAGTTGAAAAATATTTATGGCTAACACATAAAGCTCTCATGTAGCTTGTGCAAATATAAATAAAATTTATAAGTTTTCTGTATCTAGTTAGTTTATTATATCAGATTATTTTCACTAATGTGTATGTATTCTTAACTTAGTTGTCATCCATATAGTTAGCTTACCTTTGGCCAAGAATGCTTAGTAATATCTGTAGTCATAAAGCATTATGTTTTATATTTAGCTTTAGTATTGATTAGGAAACTGGACAGAGAGAGAACTGATAAAAATACATTTTGTGATTGTAAATAAATTGTGGTCTCTCAAGAATCTGTTCATTGTTTGTGTCAGTGGCTTGGATAGCCACTTGGTATCATAACTGATAATAGAATGCTGGAATAGGTGATTCTGTTGGAAATATGTATTTAGTTCAGAAAGACCAGTTAGAATTAATGATTGATAAAGAATATGGGAAAATGTAAAGTAATGCACATTGGATATTGGTATTTTTGATAAGATATTTGGTGGTATTATCAATAACTCTCAAGGTTTAGCCAGTTTAGGAAATTTAGGTTAATCCACGACATTAGAATTAACACAATAAACTAACAATGAACAATAAACTAACTATAGACTTGGAGGAATTAGGTTATTATTTACAAAGCACATAAATATAAATTCATAAATTTTTAAAGAGACAAAAAGGAGCATATTAGCCTATCAAGGATGTCCCTTCTACCTCCCAACTATAACCACCCCTTACTATTTATGTATTCCTTTCAATCTTTTCTTGAACTTAGTTAAATTTTCTGCCTCCACCACCCTTGATGGCAGCTTATTTAAAAACCCAACAATACTGTTTGAAAAGTAATACTGTCTAAACTGTAGACGACTCCTACACTGCCAAAATTTGAATTTATGACCCCTTGTCCTATTGTTTTCACTGCTAAACACAAAAAACAATGTGATGAATCTATATTACCAATACCCTCAATAATGTTAAACACCTCAACCAAATCCCCTATGATCTTTCTCTCCAGAGAAAACAAGTTTAGAAATTTTAGTCTCTCCTCATAGGACAATCTCACCTTCCCAGGTATCATCCTAGTGGCTCTTATCTGAACCTTCTCTGACAATTCAACGTCCTTCTTAAGGAAGGAAGCCCAAAACTGTACACAGTTCTCCAAATGAGGCTTTACAAGTGATCTATACATTGAAACAATAATATCCCTTGTCTTGTATTCAATGTTTCTATAGATGCTACCCAAAATTGTATTAGCCCTATTGCTAGCTACAATAAACTGTTTAGTGATTTTTCAATCATAACACCAAGGTCTTTTTCTTCAAACACAGTATTTAATGTATTCCCATTTAAATTGTAACAATTAAAAAAAAAGTAAAAATAAAAATTGTTCTCCAAACAGAATTCATAAAACCATAAAAATTCGAAAAGGTACAGTGGAAAAAAAAAAATATGCAGCCAAATAAGAAACAGTAACCTTGATCAATTAAGTAAAAATTCAGTCTGAAAACATGAACCAAAAATGTCCTGTCAGTAAGACTGCCAATCAAGAAGTGATTATGAGCTGCATGGAAAAGATGGCACTAGTAATGATAGAAGTTGTGTCACATAGAAGTTGGTGGAGGGTTGCTGCGTGATCATTTAAAAGACAGCATGTAGATGTCTCACTTGAATACATGTGAGGTTAGGTGGGAGTATCAAGGCTAGTGGTGAGCAAAAATTTGCAGATATAGAGGGCAGTATAAGACAAGAAAAGCTGTTTGTGAGAGAGAGAGGTATGATATGATATCATATGAGATCCTTATTTTTCAATAAATGTCTGTGAAAAACATCAACCAGAATATATTTATTTCATCACCTTATGGAAGTTTAGGATGAAATACTCCTAGAAATATTTTAAAAACTATTATAAATAGTTAAGAATGCTTTGTGAAATTCTGTATTTGGTAATGATGATATTACAACTAACGTAAAATAATATAATAAAGTACATTACTATTAAAACTAACTTCAAAACAATTACCTCTCCAACGTCTATGGTTCTTGCAAACTTTATTTTTTCTGGTTGTCCACTACTACTCACACACTGAATTAGTGAACGAGAAGGCTCAAATGGAAGTCGTCCCCACACATTTTGTAAGGTAAAATTTGCATCAAACTGACCTAAATGGCAAAAAAAAAATATATATATATATATATTCAAAGATAGATATTCATATAAGATGTTTTAAAAACCTAAAAATTACAGACAAAAACCAGTAATATTTTCTAAATACAATCTCTAACAAATAATAAAAATAGCGAGTTAAACCATAACCAATTAGGTTATAAAATCAAATGTTAAATGTACATTTCAAATTCTACAGACCATATAGATTCAATATTAGCTTACATGTATATAAAATACAAATCATATATGCAGAAGACAACAATCTCTCAATTTGCAACTTCCACTTCAAAGAAATCAAACAGGAGGACATGATTATAACAACATGAAAATATCAAACATTTACCAAATTATGGTCTCCAACAGTGTTAGTAATCTCAATTCAAAAGATGTATAACTAAAACTATTGATATGAAATACCCCAAAAATATAACTTGTGTTTATATAAATAACATTTATCATGTTAATAAAGAAATTCAAAAACATTTATTCAACTACCGCATAAAACTAGCAATGGATTCATGATGGGGAAACCGAAGGTTAATAATGAAAATGAAGAGGGTTGATAAAACGTAATATAGAACATTTCATTTACAAGGTTCGAACGTTTCGAAATAACTTATTCCATCTTCAGAGAAATATAAAAATTGTGTTACAAAGATGATTATTACTGAAATTATAATATAATATAATAACATATCATTAGTTTAATAATGGTTGGAGATGGGTTGAATGGGTAATGAAGAAAAACTTTAATATAAGTTTAACATAACAGCAAATGTACAACATTTCGACAAGGTTTTGTCATCATCAGGTACACAGGTATCATTAGTTTATTTAGTTATTACAAAAAGCGTTAAATGGACGGATGAAACAACGTTTATATATATATTACACAATGGCTGAGTTAAGTGTGAAAATTTAGAACAATTTTAGATCTAAAGAGCTTTGTGAGTCGTTAAGGGTCGGGCGGTCTTTAGCTATGAGTAGACTTTCTTTAATGTAGAGGTCAAGGTCTAAAAGATCCTGTGGTGATGATAGAGAAATTGTTAAATGAAATATTGTGACTTCAGAATGTGAACGAACGGATGAGTGACTGGGTTTAAGTAGTTTATGGTTGGTTCTGTTAGATACTCCTAAATGTTCAGTGACTCTAGTTTTTAAATAGTGGATGGTTGGTTCTGTTAGATACTTCTAAATGTTCACAGACTCTAGTTTTTAAGTGGCGTTTCGTTTTCCCAGTGTACATAACCTTACAGTTACTACATGTATATTTATACATGATCCATGAATGTAGAAGTTTAGGTACTTGATCTTTGTACTGAAATAAGTGTATAATGTGGAGGTCAGGTTTATATATATTACTCTAAGTGTTTAATGTGGAGGTCAGGTTTATATATTATTCTAAGCTGAATTTGAGGATACAAGTTTTTTATTAGGGAAGAGAGTTGTTTTTTAATTGGTAGGGATTGCAAACCCATGAGAGGAAAGGAGATAATGAGGGGAAATTTGGGGACAGTGTGTACATTGGCTGGTGGTTGGATTTTGTTGTTTAGGAAATTGAATGTAATCTTCGTTAGAAAATCAATCAGATAGCCATTATTTAACACGTGTTTATATAGAAGGGTAAACCAGATAGCCATTATTTAACACATGTTTATGTAGAAGGGTAAACCAGATAGCCATTATTTAACACGTGTTTATATAGAAGGGTAAACCAGATAGCCATTATTTAACACGTGTTTATCTAGAAGGGTAAACCAAATAGCAATTATTCAACACGTGTTTATGTAGAAGGGTAAACCAGATAGCCATTATTTAACACGTGTTTATATAGAAGGGTAAACCAGATAACCATTATTTAACACGTGTTTATGCAGAAGGGTAAACCAGATAGCCATTATTTAGCACGTGTTTATATAGAAGGGTAAACCAGATAGCCATCATTTAACACGTGTTTATATAGAAGGGTAAATTTCTTCGTGTAAAAATAAAATAATTAGAACAAACATTAAAATTCTGTTTAACGATGATATAACCAGATTACGTTTGAAAAATTTGGAGATAAAACTATTGAAATTGGTGTAGAGGCCAGTAAAAGTTCTTTTACGATAAGGTAGAAGAGTGTTTACCTTATTTGGTAATCCTGACGTCTTAAAAAGGTAAAGAATCAATGTCTTCAAGTTCGATTGTGAACTTGATATTGGGAATTAAGATAAGAAAGGAACTTGGAAACGTGGCTTGATTGTCGAAACAGCAAGAAAGTGTCATCAATATAGTGTTTGTAAAGGACAGGTTTGAATTCATGTGGGTAGTTTTCTAGCCACTTGTTTTCTATGTTATCATGAACTTTCTGAATTTATAACTTATAGATGAAAAATGTAAAAGCATAAATTAAATACTAAATTTTGTTATACTTTTAATCATCAAAAAATGCTTTCCACAACTGATAAAATCCTTCCAAAATTATTTTACAATGTATATTTTGACTAAGTAAATGAGAACTGCAATAATTTCATTTTATTTTTTACTTAATCTGGAAGAGGAAGAGTGAATAACACATTAATCCTGAAAACGTTTAATTGCACTGCAGGTATTTATAGCAGTTTAATGTAATTTTTAATAAAAAACTGTAACTATTTTACATAGTTTCAAACTTTTCTTAATTGAACTCAGAAACTTTTTCTTAAAATTCCACTTTATTTTCAATGTGTATTTCCTTTTGATTTAACTGAATATTGTGTTATACATACATATTGTTGTATAAATATTCTCCTTTTCTTACAGATTTGTAATTTAAACCTTTTTAGCATGTGATATTTCCAATACAAATACAAATTTAAATAGTTCAAATTACAAAAGACTACTTAATGGTCTACATGAAAATGTCAATCAGGGGAGTGGTGAGAGGTGGCTGATGTCACCCAAAATATTCAGGCACTAAACAACTGTGTATAATAAAACCCTAATCAACAAAACGTCATCCAATCTCTGGTTAGTGCTGTTATTTAAGTATTCAATTATCAGAGCAAGAACTGAGTTCATTTGAAAGTTACTCGTTGTAAGTCACTTTGGTAATTTTGGGTTTATGAAAACAGCTAAGGAAGTTCTAAGGTAGGAAATAGTCCTACTTAAGACCTTCCTAATGTATCTAGTTCTATGTCTTTCCCCTTCCTTAGCAGTGTAAAATAAACTTTGCCCCTTAAACTCATCTATCTACCACTCCTTTAACTCCTCTGAACTGAACATATACACTTAGAAATTTAGCCTTATATTTATAGAAAGAAATTAGTTATACAGGAAGTAAAAAAAAAAGGGAACTTGAGAAGTTACCTTAAAATGTTTTTCTTGGAGGAAAAAACTTTCTAATAACTTGAGAAGTTACCTTAAAATGTTTTTCTTGGAGAAAAAACTTACTAATAACAGATTACTTTTATCAGCAAAATCTGAGTTATAATACTACTTTTTGACATCAGAATAACTTAAAACTATTTAAAACAATTCTTCTGTAACTAGTATACTTACCAGAAATAAAAGTAGGAAATAACAGAAAACATAAACATAGTGAAAAGAGTTGTACACTTTGTAACATTGTTCCTTATACAAACATTCAAACTTGTGTTGAACTAATAAAATATAAAGAATAAAGTATCCAACACAAACATGGAATAACAAATGTAGATTAATTTTTCTAAAGGAGTATTTAAGAACACCAACCACATCCTGGAAGTAGAAACTACTAACTTCCTGTTAACTAGTTATACCAACATCTATGTTTAGGACAGGAAGTTACAGTGTTAGACACTAACTGTTTAGAAACTGATAACATGAAAACACTTAACAGTGTCAACAAACCTTCTGCATTCTTGATCTTCATACACTGCAGCTATTTGATAGTACGGTGTTCATCTAAAAAAAACATTAACTTACAAAAAGAAAGAAAAATTTATTATCTGTACTAATGAGGTAATCAAAGAGAAGTATTACAAATGCATAAGATGAATTTTTATTAATAATAAGATTTTTACAAAACTCAAGTATTTAAAAGTTGACAAGGAGAAGAAAAAGGGTATGAAAACTGAACAGTTATTTAGTAAAATGTTTTGAATACAAAGATTACATCTTTATGACAGAAAACTTATAAAAAAGCCAAAATAAAATTAATATAATTTTAAATATTGTGTGTTCAGAGTCTTGTTGAATCAAACTAAAAATTATTAAAATGAGAGCAGAAAGACATTTTTCTCACAATACCATAATAAATACTCCATTGCACTTTAAAATATTAATCAATCTCAATAATTTTTCAAATTATTTCTGAAACACTGATTATAAAAAAAGTTTTGTTTTTAGATAAGTTAATTCCAGCCACTTTGAAGTAAATTCTTTGCCAAGTTGTTCAAAGAATTTAAAACACTTTAGGGTCATTTGACATTAGATTTTAACATACTGAAACTAAAACCATTCAATAAATTAATTATATTTACTGACATAGAAAGATAAACCTTCCTATGCTATATCATGATTTCACAAAAATATTACTGAAATCTAATTGAATAAACTGATTTAAAAAAAGATGTGGGATTTATAAGATGTCTTTCATACAATGAAATGGATATATGTACATACTGCTAATTTGTTTTGGTAATGTTTGTTTTTTATATGTTTTTTCTAGCAAATGTATTTTAGAAAACAATAAAAAAAAGTAATTGAAACTATACCATAGTTTGGTATACAGTAAAAGACATATGTTAATAAATGACAATCAGTGGTTATACAAAGTTATAAAAAGCAGAATTAATAAGAAATAAACATGATAAGAAATTTTGAAATGTCTTAGACTAGAAATTAAATTTGACTACTACTAAATCATTGTAGTTAATCTGGTACAAGGGTGCAGTTTCCTGTAACTCCCTTAGAAAACTAATGACATCTGTTGATTCACATTTTATACAGCACTTTCTAGCCCACTATTTATTTATTTATTCTCTTGAATTTACACAAGTATGAAAAACAATTAGCATTCTTCAAAAACACTAAGTAATCTTGCTTTCAGTTTGAATTAAAGATCTGTAAATATAAAATATGCATACGTGAAAAAATGAAAAAACACAATGTCATGTTCTTTAACAGTTTATGAAGAAAAACAATGTCATGTTCTTTAACAGTTTATGAAGAAAACAATGTCACGTTCTTTACCAGTTTATGAAGAAAAACAATGTCATGTTCTTTAACTCTTTATGAAGAAAACAATGTCACGTT